CCTGGAGAAAGCCCTGGCTAAATAAAGGCAGCAATTAGATCATTAGCACCAGCCCCAACCCACCTGCTCAGAGTCCCTCAAACATGTTTTAATTACAATCCCTTAATCTCCTTCAGATGGTGAGGCTGGCTCTAGGGCTTTTGCCCCAACAGCCCTTTCCCTCCCTCTCCCTCCCCAATTAAGGGGTCCCCTCAGCAAAGAGCCCCTTTCTCAGCTAACGGCCTCCCAGCCTGGGAGGAACAAGATCATGCACAGATGGTGACCAGTCCACCTGAAGTTCCCATAGGTGTAGCTGCAGCAACCCCCCCCCCCCCTCCAAGCTGTGTGGCTCCTGCCTGGGCACAAACTGAGATGCCTGGGACCTTTGTCATTCCCTTGGTCTGCTCTTGTCCTGATTTTTCTGTGTTTTCTGGGAAGCATCTTCCCCTGGCTCTTTCATGGTGACTTCTATTTTTCTGTCACCACACAGGACACCCTGTCCAGGCCAGCTGTCTTCCTTGGCAGTTCCGTCCAGGAGCCACCAGGTTCTGTTGCAGGTGGAACTGAGTCAGAGCCCTGACAGGCTGTCTCCTGGTGGCAGCCCTATAGTGACCTCCGGCTGACCTCAGCAGCGCGCAGCCTTTCTCCCGGCCCTTCATGCCCAGTCAAGCCTCTGACACTCTTAGCCACATAGGGGCTGGCAGAACATTGGGTGGGCCTCTATCCCTGAGCTTCAAACAGGGCAGAGGTAGGGGGAGGGACAAGATGATCCAGCTTGTGGCCCCGTGTGAAGCTGAGCCTGGATGAAGCTCTTTCCTGGGAAAGTTCTTTCACTAATTGACTTGCAAATGCCTCTCATAATTAGTGCTAAGGATTTCTAGGACCCCATCCTGGAGGGTCCTTTTGGGGGGGCAGCCTGTTCCTCTCCCCTCTCTGAGGTCGGCTGGGCTGGGGGTGGGCAGAGCCGGGCACCGGTGCCCAGCTGCTGTCCAGCGTTCCCACGGCTCTGGTGCCAGCATGTAAAAGGCGAGGTGGCGGTGGGGGGGAGGGGCAGGCAGGGCTCCCTGCCATCCTTCAGCTGGGACCAGGGCCAAAGCCCTGAGGCTCCAGGAAATGACAGAGCTGGGGAATGGGCAGTGGCAGTGGGTGGGGGCTGGCTGGCTATCACCCCCAGGAAGGAGAGCCCAGCTCCCCCAGGAAGGAGAGCCCAGCCTGTACAGGGGCCTGGCATGGCTGAGCCTCCAGCACAATGAATGGGCCAACAAGGGGCCTCTCTTCCCCATGGTTTCCCCACAAAGGCCTTGGCTGCACCATTGGATGGGGGGATGCTGGGGCCACTGGAGGAAGAGGAGAGGCTGTTCTCAAAGACACTCCCACCCCCAGGCTCTGCACTCCCAGGAAGGGGGCCTGGGCTGGGGGCCCAGTGCCTTGGGTTCAGGCCCAGTTTGCTCTTGGATCTGCTGAGCAAGGAGGGCCACCCTCCAATCTACTGGGCCTCAGTTTCCCCCACCGGAATATCCCTGGCATCCTTCCCAGCCCTGATGTCCCCCTCAGAATTTCTACCCACACAGCTATCACCAACAGCCCCATCCCACCCTCCACTGCCCATTCTCAGTCCTCTGCAGGTCCTATCTAATTGATGTGCAGCCAGACCTCCCCTGAGGGTGTATCAGCACCCCTCACCCAGACACTGCCCCTCGACCCTAACACCCTCACCTCCCTTCAGGTCAGGAGGAGCTGTTCCAGTCTCTGCATGCCAAGGAGAAGCAGGAAGATTCTAAGCTGTGGCTGCCTGTCATGGAGTCAACAGGGCCCTGGCATTTGCCAACTATGTGACCTGAATGTGTCTGTAAGCCTGTTTGGGCCTCCTCTGCGAAAGGCCTCACAGGTTATGTTCAAGATTCACTGAGACTGCAAGTGGAAGTCTCTGTGTAGGGACTTGGACGCTCAAAGTTCTTTTTATTCCCGTCTCCCTCCCAAAGCTCTTGGTCAGTCTGCCTGTTTCCCTGTGACTGAGATGCTCTTTCACCATCTACCCCCATCTTTTTTGCTTGAGTCTCCCAGCAGTTCCTTTATAGTTCCCATTTCATCTCCAGAACTGGCCATTTTCCTTTGGTAAGTCCTCCCTACAGTCTAACCTATTACCAGTTGCCCCTCCCCAGGCCTGGCCCCTTCCCAGTTGTCCTGCAGCTGGGGCCCTGAGGGAAGGGGGTGGAAGTGGGCGCTATGGTAACTCTGAAAGAGAATGCCCTCTCTCCTCATCTGCATACAGACAGTCTCATTTGCATACAGACAGGTCTCATCTGCATAGGCTCAGTAGGACTCTGAGAGCACATTCCCAAGTGTCCCTCCTGGACCCCAGTCCTGGCATCCCTGTCTAGGAAGGGGTCCCCCCCCCCTACTGCCCCTGTCTGGGTCCCAGTCTTTTTCTTTCCAAAAGGCAGTCCACCCTCTGTCATTCCCCTTCTACCTGCTGTTGCTGGTGCCCTGCTTTCCTTTCCTGTGCTCAGTGGAGTTCTTCCACCTCCTTGTGCCTGCTCCAACTCCTTCACCAGGGCCTCCTTTCCAGGCCAAGAAGGAGGCCACTAGTAGAGACAGAGGGCTGGCCCCAGTCACTAGGGCCAGATTAATGCTCAGGCTCTGAAGTCCAAACAAAAGCAGGGGGAGGGAGAAGGCAGCCCTGGGCAACTTCCCTCATGCTGACCCCAGGCCAGTCTCCATTCACCTCTACTTCCCAGGGATCAAGGCGGGTGGTGGTGAGGAGGGCCCCCGGAAGTGGGGGAAGTGGGTCCTTGCCAGGCTGGGCAGCGGGAAGGTCCCTTGCCAGGCTGGGCAGCGGGAAGGTCTGGAAAGGAGGTCTGGGAAGCTCAGAGACACTCCCCTGGGCCTGGAGAGCCTGGGGCTCAGCCCTTAAGTATGCCACACTGATGCAAATGGAACTGCCTCTTTCTGGCTGCTTCCTAGGCTTCTATCAGCCCTCCTAGACAGTCTTTGTGGGAACGCTGGGGGTTCTTGGCATGAAGCTTAGGGGAGCCTGAGAGTCTTCTCCTGACAGGCCTCCACAAGGCTCAGGACCTGGACACAGATAGGCCTTCCCCTCTGTCCTCATTTCTTCTGTAAAATGAGGAGCTGGGCCAGACCAGGTGGCTCTTAATGTGAGTCTCCTTCCTGGAAACAGGGCCCAGGTGCCGAGCCGGCATTCTGTATGCAGTTTCAGCAAATGTAAGGATCCCCTGAGGTTCATCTTGACTCAGGCTAGGAGTCCTGGTCTAGAGGAGCTAAAAAGCTGTGATCAGTGTTTAAGTGGGAGTGTAGACACATTCTTTTTTTTTTATCCTCACCTGAGGACATTTTTCGATATTTTGTTCAGATAGAGTGGGAGGGAAAGAGAAAGAGAAACATCAACATGAAAGAGACACATCGAGTGGTCACCACCCACACGACCCAACCAGGGCCGGGGACAAACTGCAATCGAGGTACATGCCCTTAGTGGGAACTGAACCGGGGTCTCTCCAGACCGCAGGCTGACGCTCTAACCGCTGAGCCAAACCGGGCAGGGCTGTAGACACATTCTTAAATGCATGTGGAGTATTTCAGGGAAGACACATGCACCAGTGGTTGCCTCTTGAGACTGAGGGACAGAGGTGAGTGGCTGGAGACAGGGATGGGGAGACATACTTTCCCTTTTGTACTGGTAGGATTGTACCATGTGTATTTTCATAAGCTTTTTTTTTTTTTTAAATCCTCACCCATGGATATTTTTCTTTCTTTCTTTTTTTTTTTGATACGTGCCCCTAGTGGAAACTGAACCCAGGACTCTCTGGTCCGCAGGCTGACGCTCTAATCGCTGAGCCAAAGCAGCCAGGGCAGATATTTTTCCATTCATCTTCAGATAGAGTGTGAGGGAGAGACAGAGAGAGAGACACATTGATTGGTTGCCTCCTGCATGACCCCAACCAGAGCCAGGGACCTAACTGCAACCGAGGTACATGCCTTTGACTGGAATCAAACCTGAGACTCTTTGGTCCTCTGGCTGAAGCTCTAACCACTGAACCAAACCAACCAGGGCATAAGCTTTTTTATTTCGAAAAATTCTAGGATTCAGACTAGAGTTTCATGGAGGGGTTGTGGTTAGATAAAAGGAAGGACTCTTTATTATTTTTTATTTTTAAAGATTTTTTTATTGATTTTTTTACAGAGAGAGAGGGAGAGGGAAAGAGAAAAACATTGATGTGAGAGCGAAACATCTATCAGCTGCCTCCTGCATGTCCCCTACCAAAGTTTAAGCCTGCAACCTGGGCATGTGCCCATATGCAGAATTGAACCGGCAACCTTTGGTGCACAGGATGACGCCCAACCAACTGAGCCACACTAGCCAGGGCAAGAGGATGGCGAGCTTAAAAAGTGAAGGCGGTCTGGACTCTACTGACACTTTCCAGCAGGAACTCTCTTGAGAGGTCTATCTCTTGGAGAAGCATGTTGAATACAGATGTGTTATAGGGGAAATGGGGTCAAGAACACAGTCCCAGCCTGTTCTTGATGTGGTTCCCGTGCCCCCTCAGCTTCCCTCCCAAGATCTTTTTTTTTTTTTAATGTTTTTATTGATTTTTTAGAGACAGAAACAATGTGGGAAACATCGCTCAGCTGTCTCCTGCACGCCCCCTACTGGGGATCAAGCCTTAAACCCCGGAATAGAACTGGGACCTCTCAGTCCATGGGACAGGATTCAATCCACTGAGCCACACCAGCTGAGCTTCCCTCCCAAGATCTTTTTGGAAAGTTCTACCTGCTCTCTAACCTGAATTTCTCTTGCTAGACGTATTTATTCCCTTCTGTCACTACAGAGGGAGGAAGCAGGAGTGGTGGCTCTGTGGTGCAGGGGTACACTCTCTCTGTGGTGTGTTCAAACTTAGGACATATCTGAGGAAGAGTCCCTCATGGAAGAGACAGAGGCCCGCCCGCCCACCCACCCAGTGACCTCTCACACAGGCACTCTTGGGGAGCAGCCCACCTCCCCCATTCTCTTGGTTCTTGGGATGGTATTGAGAAGCCGTGTCGGCTGGGAGCATCAGCCCATTGCTTTGAGTTGGGACTCACCAGATCATGGGTGGCCTTCCCAGGGGCCTTGGGAAGCTGTTCACCTTGGCCCCCCACCGTGGGAGTTCTGTCTTAATCAACCACTCCCCCTTCTGTTGCAATGTGGCTTCTAGTGTTGGTCTCTTGGAGGGAGCTCAGGATTGCCCTCCTCTCATTCAGTCCCTCCCCTCCAAACCCTGGCACATCCACTACCACTAGTACTGTTGTTCAGGAGTCAAGAGTCTTTATTAAACAGGAGATGGAACTTCCATCTAGAGGAATCTCAGCTCAGACAACACAGGAGAAACCAGGATGGGACAGGACCAGAGCAAGGGTGAGGCCAAGTCTTATCCCGGGTGGCTCTAGGTGTAATGGGCTGCCCAGGCTGGAGGCTGGGGCCTCCCCACTTCTGTCCTGCTCAAACACTTCTCGAAGGAGGCAGTCAACTTGCTAGAATTTAGCCTCATCTTTCAGGCAATCCAGGAAGGCTTTTTAGAGGAAACTCAGGCCAACTGGGTGAAGTAGGTTCTTCTTTTTGGTCTGAAAAGAAAAAAAATGTCAATAGTGAAAATGTTCTGTTTGGATGGAGAACTTAGTAGGAGGCAGAGGACAAAACTCTAGGGAGCATCCAAAGGCCTTGGAAAGGCTTCCCCTCCATCAGGAAAGGGAAGGGGTTGGAGGACCCCCCGACAAAAGGGCCACCATGAACAGTGGCTGATTCTAGGCACCTCTTCTGGGTGCTCTACTCAGGGCCATGAGGCACAGGGGATGCCCAGGGTGGAGACTCGGATGCCAAGCAGGTGAGAGAAGGGGACCTGCTTCAGGAAGGCAGAAGCATGCTTCCCTTGGCCAGGGGCCAACCTGGGAGGATTTGAGTGACTTCCACAGCTCCTGTGGCCTCTTCCTCAGTCTTGTCTTCAGCCTGCAAGGAGAGTTTTAGCATCCCTCAGACCACCCCTGCACCTAAGAAGCATGGCCCTTTCTTTCCCTGAGAACTTGTAGAGAAGTCCCCCTGCCTATCTGCTCCTCTCTTCTCAGTCCCTCCCATTGTGTGTGGAGTGTGTTCCCCTGGAAGTCAGCACAGGAAGGGAGGGCGAGAGCACATGCTTTGGGATCCATAGAGCCCCATTGGAAGCCCGGCCCAACTTACTAGTCCTGTGACTCTGGGCAACATGTGTTTCTTGGGGCTTTGATTCCACCTTTATAAATGGGGGCAATATCACCGAGTTTTCAGGCCTTTTGGAAGATTAACTGAGGTAACGGCTAGGGAAGGGCTTACACAAGTAAGTGGGTGCCTGATCAAGGTCAGTTCCTTCCTTCCTGGGGTTTAGGGGAGCTGTACCTAGGAAAGGATAAAATCAGTAGAGGCTGCACAGAAATCAGAAGTCAGCTGTGGGGGCCCAGCTGGTGTGGCTCAGTGGCTGAGCATCAACCCATGCACCAAGAGGTCACCAGTTCAATTACTGGTCAGGGCACATGCCCGGGTTGTAGGCTCGATCCCCAGTAGGGGGTGTGCAGGAGGCAGCCCATCGATGTTTCTCTCTCATGGATGTTTCTATCTCTCTCTCTTTCCCTTTCTTCCCTAACTCTCTAAAAAATCAGTAAAACATTAAAAAAAAAAAAAAAAAAGTCAGCTGTGGGGAAATAATTCCTTTCCTGCCCCATCCGGGGTTGGGAGCAAGCAGCTTTGGAAGCCCCCAAAGTTCACCTGAGCTGACTTCTCCAAAAGGCTTTAAAATCTGAGAAGAGAATTTCAGAAAGAGGAAGAGTTCTTAGCCATGCCTCTATACTGCCCAACACTGCTCAGATCTGTATCACCTTTCTCCCACCCATACTCTCAGACTTTCCAAACTTACTTCCCTCTTCCCCGCCTCACCTTCTCCTTCCTTTACCCAGTCCCCACCCCCACTCCCCAACTCTACCTTTGCCAGGTCCCTAACCTTGACCTTGACCATACTATGGAGGGGTAAGGATGGGAGGTCTGCCTCACTCATACTGGAAACTCCCCCAAAGGTAAGGACTTGGTCTCCCTCAAACCTGGGCTTCTTGAGGCCTGTGCCTCTGACTCTTCCTGGCCCTCTTCTGGGCCTGGGCTGGCTCCCAGAAGCCCTGAGCTGAGCGGGCTGTTCCTCAGTGCCCCAGCTAACTGTCTGCCTCTCCCTCCACAGCTCCTTCTCCCTGCTGCAGATCCTCAGGCCACCTGAGAGCCCTTCTGGCCCCAGGTTGGTTGGATGAGGGGGAACAGCAGAAGACACTGGTGTCTTTCAGCGCCTGGGAAAGGGTGGTGGATGAAGGTCTATGAAGGGCCTTCCCCTGGGAGGAGGAGGAGGAGTCCAGATGGAACAGTTTCCACCTGTTCCACCCGCCCCACCCCAGACAGAGCCAGCATCTCCTAGCAACGGTACAGTAGCAGGGGTCTGGGAAGAAGGTGGGGGCTGGGAAAGTGGGATGGGGAACAATGATATAAATTATCCCCAGCCCCTCCCTCCCAGCCCACTCTTCCTCAGTTGAGAATGGCCTTTTCCTCCCCACCTGCTCCTCATTCTGGATTCCCTCAGCAAAGCTGGGCCTTGCTCAGTGCCCCTTGCAGATGCGCCTCTAGGTCAAGGTGACCATTCTCTACCTTCTGCTTGAGTCCAAGAGGGCAAATCCTCACCATCCCAGGATCTCTCAGGGATCCCGTTGGAACCTCCCAATGGCAAGAGGCACAGTGTGCCTTCCAAAGTACACCCCACACCCCCAAAACCTGGGAGACTATCACTTTCCAAGGGTCTCTGGCTATTGCCTCTTTGGGTGAGGATGGGGCAAGGAAGGGGAATTTCCAAGCATCTGGTGACACCGACTCTCCTCTAAACAAAAGGTTTTAGACTTTGGCTCCCAAGTCTTTAAGGGGCACTTGGACCTCTTACCAAGCTAGCCAAATCTCAGTTTCCCTATCCCAACAGCTGGGGTCCAGGAAACCCAAACAAGTGACTAAAGGTGGGTGGCAGTTTCCTCCTTACCTCTCAAATTTATTCTGTCAAGCCAAGGGTCAAAGAACTGGTGCTTCAGCATTACAGATCTTGGTTAGACATTGGGAAGAACTTCCCAGGACAGGAATAAACAAGATCATAGAATTCCCTGGTTGGAGAGAGGAAAAGTCTATCATAGAAACAGGAAATTGGGTGGGAACCTCTTAAATTTTATGTCATTATTGCTTTATTCTCCATATTAAAAAATACAGAGGGAATATTTAGCACAGAACCCGACATATAGTAAGCCTCCATTTGGGTTATTTAAAAAGATTATATATTAATATGTATTTTTATTGGCTAAATATCGGGAGGAAGAGATAAATCCCTGAAGACCTATCTGCCATGCTCCAAGAACCTGTGGGAAAATCCGGATATGAGGTAGTGTCCTGAGTACAGCATGGCAGCCAATCACTTTGGCAATGGCAGGAGTCTGGTTGGTTGCGGGGTAGTGTGAGGAAGCAAGCTGGTGCCAGATGGATAAACCCAACAGAAGGTAGCCCAGCCAGGTGACGCTCATGCCCCCTCTGCCCAGGGCTCTCCTCCATATGCCAGCCTCCGCCTGCTCCTTCCCTCCAAACTAAAGGCTCCACTGCTGCCTGTAGGGGATGATGCCAAAACCATTCTTCCTCCCAACTCGCTTGTACAACAAGGGATGACCACTTAGAGACAAAAGCCCCCTCCTGGGCAAAGTCTCCCTGGGCCTCGGGCTGAGGGGTCTAAGTAAGTCTGGCTTTAGCTCACTCCTGACAATGCTGAGGAACCACAAGATCAGGGACTTGAGACGGTCCCAAGTGGCAAGGCTTGGAGATAGCATGTTGCACACATTCGGTGGAGACTACGATGGCCAGTTCTGCCCTGGTGAGCTGAGATCCAGCTGCAGAGAGGGAGTGGAACAGGTTAGGGCGATGGGGAGAACTGAGCTTCACTCCCACCTGCCCCCATCCCGGGACTGCTGAACAGTATTTACACAGGGCCAGGGGAAGGTTCTTCCTGAGGATGAAAGAAGCTGTGGTCAGGAGTGTACCACCTGGTTGTTACAAATGTGCCTCCCAAACCAGTCTCAGCAAGATGCTCGCCTGCTTGAGCGCTCCAGCCAGTCCACAGTGCCCAGTAATGCTTCTCAGACAGCCGCGAGCTGTACCCAGCAGTCCATGCCCTCATTTCCAAACCCTGGAAGCCTTCCCTGATGGTCCTCACATACCTGCAGTGGCCCCTCTGTGTCCCTCAGCATTTAAAATTAACACTGGCCCTGGCCGGTTTGGCTCAGCGGTTAGAGCATCAGCCTGTGGTCCAGAGAGTCCAGGGTTCAGTTCCCACTAAGGGCATGTATCATGGTTGCAGTTTGTCCCTGACCCTGGTTGGGTTGTGTGGGCAGCAGCCACTCAATGTGTCCCTTTCACGTCGATGTTTCTCTCTTTCTTCCTCTCTCTCCCTCCTACTCTATCTGAACAAAAAAAAAGGGGAGGGGGGAATGTCCACAGGTGAGGATAAAAAAACAAGAATAAAAAATAAATAAATAAATAAATAAATAAAACCAACACTGGACATCTGCACATAGCCTTACAAAACTCTCATTTATCATTTGACCCTCAGGAGAACTGTGGAAGTAAGTTAGTAATGAGGGAGGAAAGCCAGAATTGGTATCCTGACCAACCTGTCTAATTTGAGTCAAAAATGAAAACCTCCTTGCCCTGGCTGGTGTGGCTCAGCTGGCTGGAGCATCATCCCATGCAGGTTTGATTCCTGGTCCGGGCACCTGCCCAGGTTGGGGTTTGATCCCTGGTCAAGCGCGTGTGGGAGGCAACCGATCAACATTTCTCACTCACATTGATGTTTCCCTCTCTCTCTCTCTCAAATCAATGAAAAAAACAAAACCTCCTTGTTTTGTTGTCCTTCCTGAGGACAGAGACCCTCTATCAAATCTGTGAGCAACCTGCAAGCTGAGGCTGTCCGCTGCCATTCTACTGCTTTCCGCGCCCACAACACAAACATGTATTAGAAGGGACAGCGTGCAAGGGGCTGAGGCAGGGCAGAAGGCTGTCCACACTTCAGGTTAGCAATCAGTGACTCAGGCCAGGCCAGGGGAAAAGTCTCTTTGAGGGAAGACAAGATTGGGTGTGGAAACTGAGGGAGCTTGGGACTCTTTTTTTTGGTTACGTGCCCCTAGTGGGAACCGAACCCAGGACTCTCTGGTCCATAGGCTAACACTCCAACCACTGAGCCAAACTGGCCAGGGTTTTTTTTTGTTTGTTTGTTTTTTTAAATCCTCACCCAAGGATATATTTAGAGGGGAAAAGAGGAGAGAAAAGCATCGATGTGAGAGAGAAACATGGATTGGTTGCATTCTGTAAGCGAGCCCACCGGGGATCAAACCTGCAACCCTGTGGTATATGGGATGCTCCAACCAACTGAGCCACCCAGCCAGGGCTGGGGACTCCTTTTTAGCTCCGGTCTGCCCTTCCATCACAGCCTCCCTGGAGTGGGAGCCCTGTACAGGAGAGAGGGGAGCTGAAACCGTCCCTACATCTGGATGATGACTCAGAGTGGAGTCAGCCTCAGAAGCACAGGAGGGTGTGTGTGGGCAGGGGAAGGAAGGCTGAGGAGGCCTGGCAGGATTGGGAGTTTCAGCTGGCAAGAAATGGGGAAGCGGAAGGCAGGGGCTTGCTGCTGGGGACCTGTGGATTCTGACTGGATCGTGAAAAGGAGCCTGTCCTGGGAATGCCTCCACCATGCCTGTAAGACTTTGGCCGGGTCTCAGCTTTTTTTTTCTTCCTGGTTAAAGCTTGAGGCTACCCCTCAGGCCTTCCCTCCTCCAACCCCATTCCATTCCACCCCCCATGGTCCCCCTGGGAACTAAGCCCCCTCACCTGACAGGGCCACTTCCATGGCCACTCAGAGAGGTCTTTGTGCAGAGGCTGGGCCTGGGGCAGTAGCCAGCATCCCCACTTACATTCCACCCCAGTGCCCAGCAACATGGCTGATCATCATCTCAGCTGTCTCTCCAGCCTCTCACCCCCTTTCTCTGGGAAGAATCCCCTCAGAGCCTTGGGCCAGCCGTGGATACCTCGTCCCCCTTCTGTCACTCCCTCTTCCAGAAGTTTCTAGGACTGAACCTACTTCTCTGTTCTTCACTCCAGTCCTTAGTAGCCCATCTCCTGTCCTGACTCGCCGTGCTGGGGACCAATCTTGGCTTCTCTACACCTCTCCACAGAGTTCCCACAAACCCGTGTGTGTGGTGTGTGCCATTCTAGTGTGGGAGAAGCAGAGACCTCTCCTCAAGTAGCTTCCAGGCTCTTCACAGGTTCCTTTATTTGTTCTGAACTAGCTGAGAGCCAGTTAAGTGTCTGGTTGGGTGTTGGGCTCAGCGGGCAGCTAGATGGGGGTGTCCTTGTCCCTCCTGGGAGTGGGTATATGCTGCTCACAGCCACACCCTGCACCCAACATCTCGGAGCATGTCAGCTAAGTTCCTACTACCCCCAAGTCCAACCTTCCCGGTGGAGCACATAGGCTCCTAATAAAGAAACTTCTGCCTCTATTCCCTGTCTCCTCCCAGCCCAGGCTCCTTTTGCTGGACACTCTGGTTTCCTATCACACCAGGCTCTCTCCACCTCCTTGCCTTCCAGCATGCTCTCTACTCTCCACCACCCACTTCCCCAGACTCCTGAGATTGACAGCCCCCTGCTTACCCTCTATCCCCTGTATCTTTTCCACTTATCTTTTGGGCCCTCCAGGAAGCCTTCAGGAATGATGGCTGAAGTGATAACAGTGAATGAGAGTGAGAAGAGGGAGAAAAAAAACTCATAGCTGAATCTTGGGGAACACTTTTGGCTGGAGAAGCAGTTGGCCTAGAGGACAGGATGAATAGAACCCAGAGAATAATCAGGGATATAAGAGAATAACCAAAGGAGAAGACTGACTGGATATCAGTATGAAACGTTCCACAGAGCTCACCAGGCCTGAGCAAGGGCTACTGCGTCCAGCAAGGAGGCTGCGAGAGCCAAGAGGGTGCAGAGTCCCAGAGCTGAGATGGAAGCCAGACTCTGGGCTGAGGAGGGAAGGCTTGGAGCCTAACTTTCAGGACACAGCGGCCCTTCACAGGCCCCAGAGAGGCCCTCAAACTGGCAGGTGATCCTGCCTGTCCACATCTTACCCCTCCTCTCCTCCTGCTGATACTCCCAGTTCTGATTCCTCCAGTATTTCTGACATTTCGCACAGTCCTCCCAAGGCGTCTCTGGAACCAAACAGTAGAGAGGCCTCTCTACCACCCCTGCTCCTTCCTGTGTGAGGTTCACGTCTCTTCTGGGGCTGCCATTTCCCATCTCTCCCTCCTTTCTCCTCTCCCCAACCTCTCTTCCCAATTCCACTTGTAGGAAGACTCAACTTCCTGGTGAGCCAGGAAGTCCTTCTCATGAACATACTTCCATCCACATCCACCATCCAGGGCTGGCTCTCAGCCCACACCTGTCAGAGATGGCCATTTTACAGGCGCCAGTCACCTGAGATGCTGCCTTCCTCTGCTTCCTTTCCCACAGCCTTGCCTCCTACCCCTGCCTTCTTCCTTCTGAAGCCTGAGCCCAACAAGGTGGGGGGCCAGGCTGGGGAGCCAAGGCCGGAGGAAGCAAGACAAAAAAGGACAGAAAAGTGGGCCCCTTGGCATCTTTCTGGCATTTGAGTCTGGGTGAGGGAGGGAGGGCAGAGGGAAGAAAGAAAGTAGTGTGAGTTTTTCTTTCTGTCCTCTTCCTGCCACCTCCCCCCACTCCACAAACACTTTGATGAAAACAAAATCTCTCCCCTTTTTTCTCTTCCACCCTCCCCCCCCCTTTTTCCTGGCTCCTACAACAAGCCTCCTGGAATGAAAATGAGTTGTATTATGCAAATCTATGCAAATAAGGCTTAACGAGATGGAAGGAGGGGGCAGAATGCCTAATGAGTTATGGCAGAAGGGTGCAGACGGAGGGTGGCAGGAATGACCCCCTTCTCTTCATTCCCACAGCCTGGAGACTTGCTGGGGGCATTGGGGTATCCCTCACTTCTGGCTAAGAATAGGTCAAGGCCCCATCACTTCAGCTGAGAAGGCCTAGGATGGCTTTGGCTATAGGTAAGGGGCAGGAGAGCTTGGGAGGAGAGAAGTAAATACAAAGGATTTGTGCTCACTTGCACAGCATTGCCCAGAGACTCTGATGCACCAGCCTCCCAACCTTTAGCTCCAGTTGCTGAAAAGAGGGTGATGCTTATGCACACCATGGCTGTTCATCAGAAAGAGGATTCCCAAGGGAAGATTCCCAACCAGACCCAGGTTCTTCCTGGGAGTTGGGGGGGGGGGGGGGTAAAAGCTGTCTCTCTTTATGCCTTGGAAGGTGAGGGCTGGAGTGGTTGCCACAGCAACATAGCATGAAACACCCACCTCCCCAACATCCAGCCCCAGAGGACCTAGGAGTTGGGGGGGATAATAGATTGATACCCCCTGGTGCCCCCACCACCTGGCACTGCCAGCCGGAGATGGCGCCATCAAATCCTAGAGAGAATGGACCCTTTGTTTCTAGGCTCACGATGTTGGGGGAGCAGGCCTGAGCACACAGAAGGGCCTTTCCCAGGCCCTGTTCCAGTTTGCATGACTCTTGCTGGCCTCTGGAGACTCCTTGTGGCCATCCACTGGCCTCTGTGCCCTGGCAGATGGCTGCCCCTATGCCTTTTCTCTCGTGAGCTTGCCAGCTACTGCTAGGTATGCCTTCTCCTGTGCTTCTCCCTTCAAACCCCTCAAAACCCCTCAGACAGAGACAATGGTCAGTTGCACCCCTTCCTGGCTTGTGTGGACATCTCATATGTCCAGACATGCATCCTGCTCTTTTTTGTAAGGGGGCAACCTGTGAACTCTCCCTACCAGCTTTAGGACAGCTCCATCCAACTCAAGCAGGGAGACTCCTGAAGGAGGCATCAGACACAATGGGTGGGCCAGGCTGGAATTCAGAACCTGGATTGGCAGGAGAGTTGGTCACACCTCTTCCACTCTCTTGGGATCTGTAAAATGAGAGATATAGGGCTGATGACATCTAAAGCTCAGTTTAGTTTTACCTGATTGGTTCACTCTGTATCTTACATAAACTTAGGTTAACTCCTTCGTGAAATCTAACTCTCATCCTCTTACTGCCAGAGCAGTCCCTCTCATTCAGATTCCCCAATGTGGACGAACCCCATTTCCTGGAGACGGAATGCCAACTTCCCTCAGCCTTTTCCTCTCCCTGAGAATCCAAAGCTGCCTGAAAACAATTCCTATAGATTAAAAAAGCTAGAGTCTTTGATATCTGCCCATGCAGACTGGACTCCCTCCTAACCCTCTCAGCGGGGTCAGCCACAGCCATCTCACTCACCGCCCAGGAGCTGTCCGTGGTGCTGGAGGCGGCTCTGGTACACTTGTGGACGAAAGAGGGTGGGAGGGTGAAAGGGTGGTGGGGCACCACCCACCTACCCCAGGTGAGAAGTTAAACGGAGAAGAAGCAGAAAAACATTTGGAAACAGTAAGGAAAGGAGCAGATGTGCTCCTGAAAACAGTTTCTCCTCTCTGAAGACCTCTAAGTTGTCAATACTACTTTGGGGAAGGAAGAGCACAAAAGTGATGGAAACTCTGGGAAGAGCTCATGTTGAGGTAGTTAACAGGGTACAGACCTCTAAACTCCATCCTAAATTTTAAGGCTCATACAAAGAATTTAGTAATAAAGATGAGGAATATACACAGGTAAAGACACACAATCTGCCTGGTAGTATGATAGATATTAGGAGCTTGAGAGGAAGGGTAGGAAAGATAGGAAAGGACATGAGTGTATATGCACCTGTGTGCATATGCACAAGCGTGTGTGCGTGTGTGTGTCCCAGGCAGAGAGATAAGCTTATATCAGTGGTTCTTAACCCTAGCTGCACATTAGAAACACTGAGGGAGCTTTTAAACGATACTGAGGCCTCAGCTTCATTCCCACTCTGATTTCATTTGTCTGGGGCTGGGCCCAAACATCAGTATATATTTTTAAAAAGCTCCCCAGGTGATTTTAGTACATAACCAAATTGAGAATCATTGTCTTGGAAGAAAGCAGAATTCAAAAGTGCAGGGGTTAAGCCTGATCAGGCAGAGGAAGAGGCAAAGCTAGGGCCCCTGAAGAAGGGAATGAATAGGGAAGAAGACAAGCATGGCTCCTCTCCTAGAGCTCCCGTTGGCCGGTGGCTGGCCTGGAGACCAACTCAGGTGGTGGGCTTGCCTTTTCTGTGTTGTGAAAGCTTACACTACTCCAAGGCAATAAGATGAACTGTCCCCCCACTCCAGTCCCTGTGCAGAGACAGGGAATGGGTGCAATGACCCTGAGGGCATGCTGTTCCCCTTCACCCAGAAGGTCCCCAGGGAGGCAGTTGTGGAAGGTAAACAGCAACAATGGTCTCTTTCAGTGTCCAGCTTCCAACCCTTCAGCCCAATTAGCAGACACAGCAAACAGCAATTCAGCTGCCTTCAGCTGCTGTCATAACAAATTCAGTGCAGCCTTAATGGGGGATTAGGGCAGGAGGAGGGGGGTATCACTCTGAGTCCTGGGAGAGCCTGGGTGTCAAGGAAGGGTTCCCCTTTTCTCTCACCTCTCTCCTATCTCACTATGTACCCATTCACTTTTACCTTCTATAACCCTGCTCCTCATTCCCCTCAAAGCTCTAGGAATGTTTTTATAATTTTGTCTCCTCTTTCCCTCCAATGATTTTAAAGCATTAACCTAAAATCACTCATCTCCTAGGGAAGTTGGCATACCCTGCTTCTGTATGAGAGAGTGCCATAACACCTCAAGATCTATGAGGTCTCAACAGAAAAGGAAAGAAGGTGGAAAGGTCAGTCTGACCCCAGAATATTAGGTTGGGAAGGAGGTAAAGAAATAAGTATCAGTATTCCAACTCCCAAACCTTGGAAAGTGCAGACTTCAAGAAGGACTTCCAGATGAAGAATGCAGAGGGGCCAGTGATGCTCTGGTGGGTTACCAATCTTGGGAATCCAGGTGGGAGTGGGGAAGGTAGGGACTGGGAGGCTAGAGGTGAGAAAGCACCCTTTCTTAAAGTCCCTCAGCAATAAAGAAAAATTTGCATGCTGATGGGAAGGTCTTTATTTGGTTTGTTATTATACCTACTACCTAACTTGTCCTTTAATTTAGTAAACTGTGTTTTTAGTAACTCTAGAAGCTTAATGGAATAAACTCAAAATTGTCATTTACACATGTCTTATCTCTCTATCTACATAAGTTAGTTTACCAACTTACAGACAAGTGGTAAGATCCATCGAGGAGAAAAACACAACGGTCATTCTGCCATGTGGACTTCAGCCTCTTCCCTTAACAGGCTTCCCAAGGACGGTTTGTCCTCTCCCCAGGTTTCAGACACTGCCTACACAAGTCCCAGGTGTCCTTCCTTGACTCCCAAAGCTATAAAACCAGGAGAAACTTCCTCAAGTTTAAATGCTTTGAGCTCCTCAGTCAAGAATATGCCAAAGAGCTGTCCTTTTGGCATTCTGAGATCAGTCATATGCTTTCAAAGACTTGTTCCAAACTGTGGCCTTTATTAACCCTTCTGCAGTCTAAGAATTACTCTCTACCCAGGGGTATCATAACATGTTATAAGATCTTCCATCTAGAAGTCTTAATTTGCTCCATGTATCAACCCATATATATACATTTTCATTCCCATTATACAAACATCCAAGCTGAGGCTCAGAGATCTGTGTAAATTATGGCCCCTGAAGACAGACCTTGAATCAATCACATGTGCTCTGTTTTTGTCTTTCCTCAGGCTCGCTGATTGTGATGACTGTGGAAGGACATTTCAACAAGACCCTTTCAAAGTCTAGAATTGGGAAAAATTTGTCCCAGGATGAGGGTGTGAGTGATAAGGCAAAACTTAAGTCAGGTACTTAGGAAGAAATTCCCTTGGAACTCCTAGACTTAGAATTCAGTAATTGGGTATTGGGATGAAGGGTCAAGACCGAAATGGTTGAAGAAACCAACTTAGAATTTGGTTTCCAGTAGGAATAGATGGATATTGCAAAAATCTGAAGAATAGAACTAAAAATTCTTGGACACAGACAGAAGAAATGTCCTAACTGGTAAGTGGTGAGGCCCTTCCCAGCCCCTTTCAACCCAGCTTTCCTGCACCCCATATCATTAGTTCCCATCTTGGATTTAACTAGAGGAGGTGCTAGTTTGCATAAAAGTTGGGGAGGTGGAAGGCAGGACTTAGTTGTGTCGCTGTAATATCTGCATTTGGTAGACCCGCACCCCTCCTCACCAATCCCAGAGTGTCTGTTCCTCTAGTGAATTTATACCTGTACATACCCAGGCATTTTTAACTCACAGTGCAGCTTCCTGCCCTCCATGGATCGCACACATCCAAACTCACACAAGGCTACACACCACGCAGTGTCTCACCCTCATACGCAGACACACACAGCTCACAAGCACAGTCACCCATCATTCTGACAAACCCTCCCATATACCTGCAGGCACACACGAGGCAGAAACAAACCCTAACCCCCACATCCTTCTGGCCTCTATTCCCCCTTTCCACTGCAACACTGGTTTTGTAGTAACCCTCAACCCACCAGCTCCCTCAGGCTATCTGTTCTCTTTTGGAGATCCTGTAGTCAAATGTGCTAATGGGACACAATGATCATAACATAAACCCACTGTGTTTAATAATGCAGGTTCTAAGTCTCATGTGGATGAGCCTCAGCAGATTCTCAAGGTCACATTTCCAACCTGAGATATGAGAGAAAAAAAAAAAGGTTTATCTTTCTTGGTAATTCTCCTCATCAGATGCTAACTCCCTGCAGCCCATGGTCACCACCAGGCCTTGCATCTGCATGGCCCTTCCCTCTTCCCCGGTGCACTGATTCCCCCCTCCCTCCTCAGCTAATCCTCATCTCAGTCTCTCTACCTTACTCTCTCCAGATCCTCTCACAAGCAAGTGTAAAGCAGTGGGGAAAGCATTGGGTTTAAAACCAGCGAGTGACATAGCAACTCATTTGAGTCTGCAAAATGGGATTAAAAGCAGCTACCTCACAGCGTTGGAGGATCAAAGACAGGCATGTAGGCAGAGCACTGTTTCCTGAAAGTATGGTGTGGTATTAAGGATTATCAGTCCCTGCCCCAAACCTGCTTCTTTTCTCCCTAATCCTGTCTCCCTAAAATAAACCAAACCCCTCAAAATTCCAAACAGCTGAAAAAGCAAGAGGCCATTAATCTCTCTTTCCTCCAAATCTCTGAAAGAAGAAAACATATACTCTAGGTTCTCTGAAGCACGAGTGTTTTAGCTTGGATTCCCCAATATTTTCCCCACATAATATATAAACTGAATAATACTTTTCTATCTTTAAAATCAGTTCCTGGGAGGAAAATTTAAGTTTACACTAAAATTGGGAGTCAGTACAAAGTTATTTTGTCCAGTTCTCCTGCCCTCTTTTGACTCCTTACTGACCTGTCTTGTGTTCTGGATGGGGAGCGGTAACACATACAGAGGGAGCGACTTCTAGCTTTGGCCACACTTACTTCTGTTTTACCAAGTGACTCTAGACCATGCTCCTCTCAACTGCACCTAAACGTTCTTTTGCTTAAAATATTTAGGTCAGGCCAGATAAATGGATTCTTTTAGGAATGACCCCGATTAATCTCTAATTCTTTGCTTTCTTTGGGCAGCATAAATACTAAGCTACAAATCCCTTTGTGTTTGAGCTCTTTAAGGCCATTTGCTCTTGGAGATGATTTGGGGGGCGGGGAGAATGGACGGGGGGGGGGTGTGTGTGTCCTGAAAGACCCCAACTCAACCCTTCAGTCAGTAAAGACAAGGCTGGCATGAGAAGCTTTTCAAGACATCAGACTCAGGTCTTGGGTTGTAAGAAGGAAGGAATATGGAAGCAAGCTGAGAAATACTCTGCACTCATTGCCCCAGAATCCAGGCTGGGCCAAAAAAAACCGTTCCCCAGACACTCTGTCCTCCTGTTGAGCAACCCCCCACGTGATACCTTCAGTCCTAGCTCCACTTTGCCACTCTCAGCTCCTAACCAAGCTGGATAGACCTATGTAGCTTCAGAGAGCCATAAAAGCCACGACCAGCCTTCTCAGCTCCCAAGCCTGCAATAGCTGTGGATAGCCTGCGGGAAACTGTACCAGAACCCAGGGGAGAGGCCTGGGCCAGGAGCCCCAGGTCCTGTCCTGAATAACCCTGCATCCAGATCCTCCCTTGGTGCAGCAGCGACCCAGTCCACAGACTACCAGGAAAGGCCCCAGCCCAAGAGGGAGCCACATGCTCCTTTCTTGCTTCCTAACTCAGCGCGGGAAGTCACTGCACCGGGCTAAAGTAAAATGGAACCGCGACTCCCACCTGCGCGGAGGGTGGGACATCACCCGGAGCCGTGTGGTCTTGAGGCTTGCGGGGTCCTCTTGTCGCCTCCTCCGGCCCGGCCCGTAGGTCCCCGCGGAATTAGACCCTCTCAGGCCTCCCCAGCTCCCTCCCCCGCCCACGCGACCGTTTCCCCGGGTGCCCCTCTGCGCAGTGTATGGGGTTATTTTTACTTTCGGTTATCTAGCTTTATGAAGACTCCACACCACTCATACAGCTAGATAACCAAAGATAACAACCAACCCCGCCTCCTGGCCGCCGCCGCCGCCGCCTCTTCCACGCAGCCTCTCGCCCGCCCGCCCGTGGGGGGGTGGTACACGGATGGAGGTGGGGGGCGGAGAGAGAAACGGAGTCCGAGACCAAAAGACTCAGAAATACAGGGATACAGACACGACAGAGACCGAAAAAGGCGTGGAAAGGACGCGACGGCCGGTGGCACCTTAGTTCGAGGATCGCCCCCGGACCCGGACCCCAAAGCTTCCGACGCCGCGTTTCCCGCTCCCCATTCGAGCCCGAAGTGGGAGTTCCGCTGGTCCCAGGGAGGAGGGACTCACGGGCTTTCGTGCCACCCGGGAAGACCGCAGGCACCGAGCGAGGCCTCCAAACCTCACCGGGTTCCACTGCCCTCCTCTGGAAGATCCAAGGCGCACCCGACAGCCCGAGCCTTAGCCTTCGGTGGAGCCCGAGCCTCTGCGCCGGGTCGTAGTGGGAGGCGCGGGGCCGGCCCCCCCAAGTCTTCCAACTCGCGAAGGCAGTGGAGGCAGAGCGGATCTCGTGCAGGGAAAAGGGCTGGATTCAGCAGTAGACTAAAGGAGGAGCGGGCAGAGAAACCCGGAGGTGGGGATGGGGGGTGAGGGGTAAAACTCCGGAGGCGCCCCAGTAGGGAGCAGGGAAATCCGAGCAACCCAGAGAGAGGGAAGCCAGTGGGGGTGAGGTGGGAGGCGACCCAGAGACTCCCAAGCAAGTCTCTCCAGGAGAGGAGAAGGCACAGACCCTATCCGGGAAGGGAGCCCGAACAGCGCCCGCGAGATGGAGTGCGGGAAGGAAAGTGGGGGGCGGGCAAGGCAGGTGCGCGGAGTCCCAGGCCCTGCAGGACTCTCCAGGAAAACGGCGTTGTACCAAAGCTCCAAAAATCAACCAAAGCGGTGAAAATGGCCGGGGGTCCTAGGTGAGAGATGCCCTAGGGGGGGGGGGGGGCAGGGGTTTCGATCGGGAACGAGAATCCTCCAGAAGATCCCAGGAGCCCCGAGGAAGGTGTGGGGCTCTGCCGGCCCTTCGTGGCGGACCGACAGGCACTAGGGATTCCGAGGTGCTCTCCCCTCTCGGGCCCCGAGTCAGCCAGGCCACTTACATCGAGCCCAAGGCGCCCATCCATGCTCTCAGGTGCTGTTCTTTCCGGCCTTCCCGCCCACGGAGCGCCACGGCCCTGGGTCCTGTGTGCCAGGGCTCAGCAGGCGCCCGGGCGGAGGCGCCCAGCAGAATCTCAGCCTCCCCAGCTCCCGCCACAGCCTCTGCCGCCGCTCTGGCCCCGGCGCGCTCCGGCTCCGGACTTTTCATTCATCCTTTCACGCTCCCTCCCTAGGCCATCCTCTGATTGGCTTCGCCAAGTCTGACGTCACCGCCTTGTTGCCCCTCAGGCTCAACCCCTCCCCCTTCCCTGTTTGAGCCGGAGCGAGCAATTGGGGCGCCCCACCCCGGGAGAATAGGGTGGGGGGCGGGGCGGGGAGGAACTACTACGTCTGTGTGCTGATTCCCAACCTCTGCTGCCTCACTCATCCCTGACAACAGCCTGCCATCTCCAATCTATTGCCATTTGTAGCTTTGATACCCAACCTCACTCTTTTGGCAGGTTCTACATTTTCTATTTTGGCCCTAGGTATACTGCACCAGGACCAGAGCTTAAAGATGGAAAAGACAACTAAATAATTGGAGACTATCCATACCTGCATCCTCTTATTAGGATATTCTTTGTGCTTCTCGGGTTCTGGTTCCTCCCAGACTGTGATCCTAATCTTTTAAGACGGGCAGAAACCTTTCTTGTTGGTTTCCAATCCAAAAGAGTGAGGCATTCTGGAAGTTTGGGGCTCCTGTTGGGAGGCGTGGAGTCTAGTGCCTCGTTTTTTCATCGTGCAGAAACGGGAGTATCTCTTGAACCTGTCCACAGCACCAAAGTTCTAGGTGGGAGAGGCTGGAGGATTTCAGCTGGCGTTAGCTTGGGCCACACCTGCAGATTTTGACTCAGTCGTGGAGGCCCTCGCTAGCGCCTTCCTTGCCTTCCTCTACCCCATGCGCCTGCATCCATCAGGCCTGAGCACCCCACCCTTGTTCCATCTCCTGGTGTCTGGAGAGCTGGGGTAAAGGAGAGAAGGATCACTCCCCAGCAAGGTTTCAGCTTCCGCGCTTTCTCTCAGCTAGCTCCCCATCTGGCTGAGGGAATCAGAGCCGAATAATGCCGCGTTTCAACCCGGAGTGGCACACGCAAGCCCCGCTGGCGGCGTTCAGATTCTCGCGTCCTGGCAGAACTCTCAGAGAGCCGGCTGTGGCCGCCTAGCTGAGCCGCTATGCCTGCCAGGGAGCAGTTTGAATCCCTGGTCCTGAGCTAACCTACACCTCCTTGACCCTACTCGGCCCCTTTCTTTAAAAATCCTACAATTTAGAAACCTGGAGACTGTCAGCTTAATTTGGGCCATTCCTATCACCAGGGATATTTGAACCAACAGGGGTGCACTCCAGGGTACCCCTGGTTTGGCCATCAGGCTTGGCCAGAGAGTCCCCCCTTCCCCCAGGGTCCCACCTCTTCTCAGCCTGGGACAAAGCCGAGCCTGAATGCTATTTGCCTTGGTTAGATGCAAGCCAACAGCCAGTGGGGTTCATGTGATGCTTCCCTCAAAGACTGGAGAATGTCTGAATAATTGCTTCATGGTTGTGAGGTGGAGGACACTTCAAAATAGGATAGAGCCCAGGGACCATGTGTTTCCCTACCAGAATAGCAGCGTGAAGCTGAAGCAGACTGCCTAATTACCCCAGTCCAGGACTTCTCAGGGCTGTGGTTGGCATAGCTTTTTCTCTCTGTCAGCCTCCACAGCTGCTCAGGATCCTTGCTCAAGGGAAAGGTTTTTTAAAAGCATCCACAGAGTCAATTCTTCACCCTCCCAGAACTGGGAGCACAGGGCCATCGGTGGGGAGGGAAGGAGAAAGAGTGTCTACTCCCTACTTTGTTTCCTCTTGTAGCCTCCCAGGTGCCGCTACAGCTCAGAACGGAACACTGTGGGAGCACTGGGGTCCCTGTGGCTCCAGTACAGTTGCAGATAAGAAGAAACCTCCCCAAACGCTCTCACAGGTAGGTCTATCTGACTAGGATGCCACTATATGCATTCCCTAAGTGCCTCCCCCATACCAGGCCCTAGAGCAACTATAAGCCCCCTTTGCCTTTCCTCTTTGTGCCTACAAACCACTTCAAATATTTCTCAGTATGCCACCTCACAACCCTTTATAGGATACCCAATAATCTCTAGACATTCCAGCAATTCTAAATGGTGTCTACACTTCTCCTGACACACCACCAACTTCTCCTGCAAAGACTTCTCCATTTGCTCTCCCACACATTCCTTAAAAGCTCCTTAAGTGGACCTTTCTTCCTCCCCTGACCCCGTGCCTGGAAGGCTGGGGCCAGTATGTGGGAAACAGCTGCCTGTCCTGCTAGCTAACATTGTCCTCTTTCTTCTCTGTCACCAATTTCCAACCAATTCTCCTGCACTTTGGGGAGCCCAATCTTATTTCCACGGCCCCATACCCTGGCCTGGGCCATCCAGACAGTGCAGCAAGAGGCAGGTGGCATCAGCATGAACCTCCTTTCTCTTTCAGCCACTGCCATATTTTTGGTTGGGGAGGGGGAGGACAGAGCAGTTTCCTTGCCCAGTGGAGACCCACCCCCACATCCACCACTATTGGCCAAATTCAGACTAAACTGGACTTCTTCAAAACCAAGGTCAGGAGAGAAATGGGTACATATCTAAATTTCCCCAAGTAGCTCAATAGAGAACTAGATCCCCCTGTCTGTTACCATGGCTTTGAGTTCTACAGAGGTACCTCAGCCTAAACAGAGTGTTCAAATTTAACGAGGAAAAGAAAATGGAGATTAGTCTAAATTGTCCTGGTACCATCTGCATGGAATCCCCCTCTCTGCCCAGATTCCTGATGAAGTAACTGGTTTTGTCTGGGTGAACTTGACAGTCTCCCACCACTCCTGCTCAGGGATTAAGGTGAGCAGGGCACTGGTCTTTATTCCAATGGAGATGGAGCGATAAAATATGAAAGAAGCAGAAAACTGCCCACCATCATGTTCACTGGATTGGTTTGTTTCAAAAATGGAAGTACTTCAGGTAGCAAATGAGACAGCCCTTCAAAGACAGAGGCAATTTCATATATATTCAAATCTATGGTATCTAACACATGCCTAAGACATGGTGGATGATTGGTAATTAAAGAATTAATAGCCCTGCCCTGGTTAGAGCATTAGAGCATTGGCCTTCCGATGGGTTTGATTCTGGTCAAGGGCACATACCTAGGCTGCAAGTTCAATCCCTGGCCCTGGCCCAGTCAGGGTGAGTGTGGGAGGCAACCAATTGATGTGTCTCTCTCACATGGATGTTTCTTTCTCTCTCTTTCCCTCCCTCTCTTCCACTCTATCTAAAAATATCAATGGAAAAATATCCTTGGGTGAGAATTAACAACAACAAAATAATAATTAATAGCCCTGACCACAGAGAAAAAGGGGTGGGGAGCAGGACGAGATAAACCAAAGAACTTATATGCATATGTGCATAATTAATGGACACAGACAACAGTGCAGTGAAGGGGGGGCAGGGAGAAGGGTTCAATAGGGGGAAAAAGGAGGGACATCTGTAATATTTTCAACAATAAAGATATATTTAAAAAACTTTTTTCTTTATTGATTTTAGAGAGAGAGAAAGTGAGAGGGAGGGAGAGAGAAACATCGATGAGAGAGAACATCGATTGGCCACCTCCTGCATGCCCCCCACTGGGGATCTGACCCACAACTTGGGCATGTGCCCTGATCAGGAATCAAACCAGCAACCTCTTGGTGCATGGGTCCACGTTCAACCACTGAGCCACACTGGCCAGGCTAAAGATACATTTAAAAAAAAATTAATAGCACTGGCCAGGTAGGTCAGTTGGTTAGAGTGTCATCCTGACACACCAAGGTTTGGGGCTCAATCCCCAGTCAGGGTACATATAAGAATCAACCAATGAATGCATAAATAAGTGGAACAACAAACCAATGTTCCTCTCTCAAATCAATCAATAAAAATGTTTTACAAAGAATTAATAAAAGTATGTTTCTGAAAGTCTAAGTTTGTTATCATGAAGACTGAGCAAATTATGAGTGGAGAGGAAGGGTACTGACAAAATGTGTCCTGTGTGATCTATGATGGGTGTGCGTGAGAGGAATGGGGAGAGTTGTGTCTATCGTGTGTTGTGTATGAATGACTATTGGGCAGTTCCTTTGACCAGAAGAGACCCTTCTATCTAGAACCAGATACAGCAGGCCTATAAGTAGCAAAATAGGTGCATTAGGTCCCCCTTGTGCTTGGCACACCAGCCTCAGTCTCCCTAGAAAGGCATCAGTCGGACCAGAGCCCTCTGCTTCCAGCACACAGCACAGTCCGTGGCAGTGTACAGGGTGGAGGTCTGCAGAGCCTACCCGAGTCTTTCCAGGGAAATTCCGGGGGACTGAAGGAAAGCACGCCAAATCTCTGGTGCTGAGCTGAGTCTGTGAATGTCTCAGCCCCCGAGACCGCATTCTTTGCCAGTGCCCGTCCCCACCCCCAACCCTCCAGTCCTTATGTCTACCCGTTGTCTATGTGCCTGAAGAGGCCCATGGATAGAAGAACAGAGCCTACATTACGATCACAGGTGCAGCTTTTCGACAGATACTTATAATTTGGGTCCCAAAATACACTTTGGCATTTGGTCACTCTCTTGAAATATTCAGGTAATTAAATAAAAAGTACATTTTTTCTTTATTTTAATTATCAGGTTAATTTGCCTTAAAAATACAGATGAAAGCTGCCTTTAGAAGAAGGTGGGTTCAGATATTCATTCTGTCTAATAAGTGTATCACTATTGTGCTCATTATCACACATTATTCTTTCGCTATAAGAATATTTGCATTGTCTGTGGAATACTGACAAATAAAAATAATAATTGGCATTAAAAAATGATGAAGCTGTGAAAAAAAATATATATTTAAATCTCCACATGGGCAGATGAGGTTAGAGGTGTGTGGAGACATAATCCGGAAGATTTTGTCTCTGGGTATACCCGGCTCCCCTCCCCAGGAGAGTGTTTTTCTCCTGCTGAAAGGCCGGCCTGAGGATTCCTCCAGCCTGTCTGAGCATTGTCTCCCCTGCCTGCTCCCAATTCTGTCCTTGGACCCACAATCTACTCACTTGCCTAAGACCCCTATGGAGTCAGGATGGTGAGAACAA